CTCTGATATGTATTCTGTATGACTTAAAGCAGTTATGACATGGTCTGATTTTCTCACCCAATAAAGGAATATTTAATATATCAGTCTACTCTTCATTCTATCACAGTTTTCACACCTCGTACATTTGCTTTTTACACATATATGTAAGCATTGAGCCAAATGTAATAATGCCAACATATTAAAAGAACAATATTTGTCTCTTATATATAATACATATATATATACACACTGTCAAAGATACTTGTGTTTGAGTGAAGATTTAAGGTGATAGTGTGGCAGACCACCAGGTGGCTCTACTCACTCCCAAGTTGAAGGGAGGTGTTGGGGTGGAGATTTTGGCGCTTTTTGTATGTGAAGTTCTGGTGATTCAGTTAATAAAGTTGGAGTGAGACACTGAGACCTCTCCTGTCATCTTTGCATACATCCACAATAGGATATATAAATAACTGTAATTTGAATCTTTACTGAAGCTCAGTATTTGACAAGTGCAAATTCACTGCTGTAATAATTAAAAATGATTACTATAATAACTATGATATTAGCCATATTATATTTAAATATAAGTGAGATGACTTTAGTCTCATGAACAACATTAGCTAATTGTTATTTACTAACTAATCTTAAAATCACTGTTCAGTACAGACATGAAGCCCAACAATCATGTTTTACAGTCTCGTAGTCTCAGCCTCAGATACTGAACTAATCAAAGTAATGTCATTAAAAAAATTAACAAACAAAAAAACTGTCACACAAAGCTGTATGAAACATTTCTTGTGGTTCGCATCATGGTTGCTAGGCAACCTGAGCAGGGTTGGGAAGGCCAGACCATCCCATTTCACAAGGCTCTCACTTCCGCACTTCTCGCACTTCATGATACCTGCCCCACGTAGTCCGTGAACTGCGCGTACTACAAAGCGTGCGGTCGCTGGATTGGGTCACAGCCAGCGTGTTGCACATGAACACAGTCAATAACAGGAAGCTAGCATTGCTAATGTTAACTGCTAATGCAGGAACAGCTAGTGTGTGTCGTCAGTGACTGGGCATGCTTGCTGTGCTATACTGATGCTATGCTATGTGTTAATGGATCTTGTAGTCCATGATTTAAAGCAGGGGTGTCACACTGACTTTACATGAGGGCCACATGCAGCCCCCTTTGACTTTAATGGGCCGGACCAGTGAAAGTCCCTGTCACTGTGAAGGAGTCACATATTCAACTGTTTTTCTACATCACAGGTGTCGAAGTCCAGGCCTCGAGGGCCGGTGTCCTGCAGGTTTTGGATGTGTCCTTGATCCAACAGAGCTGATTCAAATGGCTAAATGACCTCCTCAACATGTCTTGTAGTTCTCCAGAGGCCTTGTAATGAACTACTCATTTGATTCAGGTGTGTTCACCCAGGGCGTTATCTAAAACCTGCAGGACACCGGCCCTCGAGGCCTGGACTTCGACACCCCTGTTCTACATGATGAAGAAAAAGTTGCTGTGACGACAGAAATCTGTCAGCGCGACTCTTTGAACTGTCAGAAATAAAATGACAGAAAAAGTTCTGATAGCTCATCGCCCACTCTGTCCAGCTTTAACTCTAGTCATAAAAAACCTGAAGATTTCTATAGTAGGAAGTGAAAATCAGAAACTTTTCGTCTTTAATAGTTTATTGCTGAATGACTTTGTGTAGTTTGAATGTTCATAAGGGAGGTTTGTATTAGCAGGAAAAGCTGGAAACTATAAAAAATCGAAAATGTCTGCTTGTGCTTGTTTGTGGTAAGCAGCAGATCAAACAGTTCAATTCCAATTCAATTTTATTTATATAGCACCAAATCACAACAACAGTCGCCTCAAGCTTTATATTGTAAGGTAGACCCCACAATAATGCATACAATTAAGAATGATAAATTATAAATGTAATTTAGAATGATTATAAGGAGCAAAACACACATTCAGGCCTGTGAGACTCATTTAGACTCTGAGCCGTGACTCTGTGCTACATGCTCACATTTCTGCATCTTTGCTATTCAAACACACTTTGTATAAACTTTATTTTATCTAATATTCAATTATTATTCACAAGCTGCTCATTTTACATTTTCCTGACACTCTTGTATTTAAATCTGCTGCCATCTCTCTGTGGACCCGGCCTGTACAATCAGCACAAGATCTCGCAGGAATCCTCCATTATTCTGAGGATTACATTTCCACTTGCAGTGTGATCGTATAGTGGTAAATTTATACAACCAAAATAGAAAAACCTCAACACCATTAACATTGCATGTTAAATTTCCCAAATGAAAGGAATATAGAAATATATTTCAGATGTCATGATCCTGGGCCATGTTGGCCCAGTATTCTTAGTTTTCGTGTGTTTTGTGTTTTGTTCTTTATTTATGCCCTGGTTTCTAGGTTGTTCTGTTAAGTTGTTCCTTGATTTCGCCTTTTGACTTTTACCCCCTGTGTGCCCCTCTGTGTATCTGTGAGCCCTCGTCTCCCCTCCTTGTGTTTCATTC